TCACCCCCCAGGGGGGATGGCCACACCGCAATCCCTTCTCCTCCATTCTCCTCTCGGGATCTTGGGCACGCAGGCACACACGCCTGGCGTGAGTTTTAAGCCACCGGGTCCGGGACGCGTACCGCGGTCGACTACGTGGGAGTCCAGCGACATAGCCATTACGCTAACTGCTAGTTCCCAAGGGAGTCCAACGCCTTTAACCACCATGCCACCTGCTGGCCCCATACACATAAAACTTTAACCTATAAAGATATTCAATTAATGGCTACTAGCCATCTTAAATGGTCCATAGACTTTTTTTTAACGGTGGTAAAATATACACACAATTATTTTAGGCACTTTAAGATGGCATTTGTAATGTTGTGCATCCAACACCACGCTCTAGTTCTAGAATATTTTCATCACCCTCAGAGGAAACCCCATACCCCTTAAACAGTCATGCCCATTCCCTTCTCCTCCCTAGCCCCTGACATACACTAAGCCATTTTCTGTCTCTGGATTCATGGACTTCTCCAGTAATAAATTAATACTTGACCGGAATAGTTTTTAACGTGAAATGAACTGTTCTAAGGAGTCACTAGTCCTCTTTAACTTCATCCTGGCTCATAAGACAAACTTCTGCTGGGACCAGCAGTTAGCGTAATGGCTATGTCGCTGAACTCCCATGTAGTCCACCATGGTTCAGGTCCCAGACCCAGCAGCTTAAACTCACGTGGGGCACATGTGCGTTCGTGCCCAAGATACTGAGAGGAGAATGGAGAAGAAGGGATTGCGGTGTGGCCATCCTCCCTGGGGAGTGATTTCTCGCTTTCTGTCTCTCTGTCTGGCAAGAGCATGTGCCCTATAGCAAAAACCTCTCCAAGGGAGAAAAGAAAGACAAACTTCTGGTAACCATTTCTCATCTGTGACCTGTCTCAGGATCAGAAATCCCTTTCCCTTTGGGTAATTGGATCCATACTAGGTTGTAGATCTGTGAATTCTCTAAAGCAAGATTTCCAAAGCCCAACCAGTGCTTTGAAAAGGCCACTTTGTGTGTCTGCAGGAGGCAGAATGAGCAAAGCCCCCAGATGTTTGTTTCTTCATTGTATTGTGTAATGTCGCCAAAATCACCTAAGTAAAACAAAACAAAACACCTCACAACCTCCCCAAGAGTCGAACCCCACAGCAAACTGTTTATTCTTCAGTATTTGTGTTTTGCAATTCTGCTTTTGAGATTCCAAATTTTAGCTATCTGGAAATAAGAGGGGAAAGAAGTTAGCTGGGGTGCAGAACTAAAGGTCCATTTCTTGTGTTTAGGATGAAGTATAATTTCCTTTCTGGGCCCCACCCCTTCTGCAGTCTGATTTCCCACCCTTCCTTTGGGGTGTGGGAGACTGGGCAAAAATAACTTTATTCTTCCCAGAATTTATTCAATGGAGTGACTCCATACTAGGTCAGGAAAATAACAGGGGCAGGAGGTTACCTTTTGAAGCAACACTGTTTTTCTTTCAGAAACGGCGAAGACAGAAGGCTTCTTAAGCCAAAGAAATAAATGTGGCCACAGACGATGTAGACTAGAAACCAAAGACTCAGGTCCCTGACACGGAAGCCAGAAGTCCCTCCCTCCCATTTAAAAATAAAAGCCAACACCATTCTCTGCAAACAGGCCACGACGTCCCCATTTTCCACTCCTCCTTCTCCCAGCTTCTGCACCCTACGCACACTGACTGCTTCTCCTTGCGCTAGGTGAAAGCCGGACACGCCACAGGTGCGGACAGCACTGGGTCAACTGATTTAAGAGGGTGGGGGGCGAAGGGATGGAGGGTGGTTCTTGGGCCCAGAGCGGCACAGGCCTCCACCCCTCCGACTCCCAAGCACCAGCCCAAGACCCTTAATGGCTTTGGAAGAAGGGGCGACGGGGACAGATGGGGGAAATCGGCTGAAAGCAGCACGCTAGCCAGAAACCTCACACCTCAAACTCTTGGGAAGCTTGTGCCCGGAACTATGTCAAATTTTGGAAAAGTTCTAACCTAGGGTGAAATTGAAATAGAGGAGAATGACAACTCTCCAAAAACCCCAGTCCCCTGACAAAGCAGTGAGACTGTAGGTCCCCGAGTTTGCAGCGAAGCATCCGCCGGGATGCTGTTAGCACGCGAACCCAGGGCTTCACGCCAAACCTGCCAAGAAATGGGATCTCGAGATAAGGAACCAC